CTACCGAAGGTGAACATCTTTGGCATGTAATCACGATCATTTTGTTTGTTTACAAACTGCTGGAGAACGAATGTTTTCTCATCGGAGAAAGCCAAATTCGGCAGTTCACCACTTTCGGCCAAGCGAAGCAACTCTTTAGCTCTTTTGAGTCTATTTTTTTCAGTTGCGGTGTAAGTTCTTGCACTTTTTGGAATTTCAATGGCTCTACCTTGAGTTCATTTTTCAATATTTGCCGAATGGAATATTGCGATATGTTCAGCTCACGAGCCAAGCGGGTTGCGATCCAGTCGCTTCCTTACTTTTCGATCCATTTCTGCTGATCTTGCTGTTTTCTTCCATCCATTTCCTTGACGTCAGGCTACGCTACCAGTACCACGGCTTAAATTCCATCACGATTAACTTTTTTTCTGTTATAATTTCCTTTTTAAATCAGGGTTTTGGTACGGAATCGGAGTAAACCAAAGAAAAAAAAAAAACCTCGACTCTTTAAAAAATGAAATGTCATAACCCAATATTATTTCCAATATAAAATTTCAACTAGTCAATGCAACCCTTTCTGATTCCTAAGACATTTTTTATCCCAGCGGCTGCAGCTTGGAGTTCCACAGAGATGGATCGTCTTATAAAGCAAAAGTTTATTCGTTAGTTCAACAGTGAACCCATGGTAGATTAGATATGTAGTCTCATTTGCCAAATAGTTATGATAGTCCTTTTTTATTATTAGAACATTTTGGGACAAAATTAAAAAAAAAAAATTGTTGCACAAAAATATAGCTGAAACTAGCTGGTCAAAATAAGATTCCTACCTAGATAGAAGACTGGTCCAAAATGGTTCCAAAATTAAAAAATGTACACTTTCTTAAATTTGTTATTCCAACAGAAGAAGTCTGCTGTTCTATGCAAATTTGTTGTTGAAGTCATCAATAAAGTTGGCGGTACCGTAATATGGGGCTACACCAAAACAAGAAACTACATAAGCAGTTTCCTACTAGAGAAGCTTTTATTTATAGATTCAAATACCAAATTTAAAACAAATTTGTAGAGAATTTGTACAAATTTGTGTCTGGAGGTTCCGCTATAGGGGGAGATAAGAAAATATGGACCTACACAGGCAATCTACTGTCACAAGAGATTGACGGAACTCTATATACTAAATGTTCAAAAAATCCGCTAAAAATGTGGTTAAAATCATCAGATAACTGAATATCAGAGAAAACGTGGACCTGTATAGCGCCAACATTACAGATTTGAAAGCTGTAAAAAATACAACAATACGTAAGTTGGCTCTGCCTGAACTGGCAGTTCAGTTTTAAACAAACAAATTATAAATTAACAAACAAAATAATATTCCGAGTTTCCCGAAGATTGTGCTCAATTTATTTCTGTTAAAAAAAAAAAATAATAAATTAATATTTCTGTTGCCCCATATTTTATGGATGATGTGAAGGAGTCTGCTGCTTCCAAATATAGGCACTTCTCTAGCGAACTCAGGATTCTCCTCCATATAATCAGCTAGTGCCCGCATTATATTGATGTTATTATTGAAATGTTATAATTGTCTTTATTATTTTTACGTTTTCGTTCGTTCGTACCATTTTTCGATCTGATAGATTTTAGTGGAACGGAAATTAGCTGTTGGTCGTGTAAAAGGCATGCAAACGTGTTCTTTCGATATCGTGGAACAGGCTGAACATTAATTTGCACTACATTCTAATTATTGTACCATGGGAGGTATTACGAATTCTGCCGATTTGAAACAATTCTCTTAGGAATTGTACCGAATATTGTGATGTACCGTTATATGGCGGCTAGAAGAAAACGTGGGCCGAAATTACCCATTTACGAACTTAAAATGACTAACTTCTGGGGAAAATATTCCAGACAAAAAACAAGGGAACTGACGAGGATTGGTGGCTCTTTCCGAAACCTAGGTATTCCCTGCCTTACCCCCTGGTAAACATTACCTCCACTAATAAACAAACGTTGTTTTTATAAAAACAACAATAAAGGGATAAAGCCTGACCATTTTGCAACAACATTATTACGGGACATTGACGCTGATCTAGGCTATAAACTAGAAACTCAAACCGGAGTTTTCCAGATTAGAAGTTATAACTCTCGACATGTAGAAACTTCTTCCACCATCAGTAATTTCGTCAGCATTGGAAAGTGCTGGATTCAAGGTCGATACGACTTCGGAGTATCATAATAGTCCTAGTTTATTTCCACCATGATCTAAAAATGACATAATTTTTTTGGGAGTAACGCTTATATGTAAACTTTTAGTGTCTGACTCTCTGGCAACTCCATAAAAAAAACTCTCTTTGACTCTATCAATGTATTCATTATAACTGAGAGTGCGATTTCTGAGTATAACAAAAAATACCTTTATTTTTATCAAAATGCAAACTCAGCATTATTTTTTTGTCTTTTTATCAGACGACAGCAGTGAAACCAAACGACCCATACACCATACCGTCGCACCACCGTACAAACAAGACGAACCGACCATCATCAATAACAACAACAACAAGAAAACTGTTGATACCAATGACGGATTGTTGAACAACGTCCAACACCAAACAACAATACCATGCGATTGTGGTGCTCACACGAAAGTAAACTGACGACAAGAGTAACAAGTTGAATATCCCACGACAAAGTCTATAATGAATGAAGTTGTATAATAAGGGTTGCCATTTACGCAAATGTTACTAGAAGAAGAGGAATGTAATATTGTCTATTTAAAACATATAATAGAGTTTAGTAGGATACTGTAGAACCATGGCACTATAACAAGGTATTCTGGCAAATTTTAAAAATCAGATATAATGTCAAAATTTGTTTACATTATTTTGACAATTTGAGTATATTTTGTTGTGTGATATCAATCACAATAATGCATTTTGGCATTAGATTCGTTAGTCACCTGCTTGGAAGAGTTACCTTGCCATGTGTAAAACTAAGAAGATCAAAAAATGTTTTCTTACGCATTTCGTATTTCTATGATAGAGCAGTTTAAGCGGTCAAAATCACTTTGAGAGAAAAATGTTTCTTTAAAAGTATCAGAACCTAAAACTAGTCTAAATCTAGACTCAGAAATGCAATGCATCATCAGGTCACACAAATCAGGTATGGGATACTGCTTTCTATAAAGTCAACCTTGACAAGGTTAATAACAAAAAAAAGCTTAGCTGGATATTATTATTTAAATGAGGTTACCTTGAATCAATTGTACCATGAAGGTAACTTTTGATTTTGAAAATCTAATCTGAACACATAATTGCTTTCAAAATTCACATGGCTGAGTTAGGAGGTGCACCAGTCCAATATATCTTAGTTTGTTTTAAGATCGAACCCAAGTTTTTGTGTTTTAAAAAGTAGCAATCGAGTTAAAAGATAAATTGAAGAAATCTTAAATATAATCGAAAAACAATTCTTGTTCTATGAAAATGTGAAATGAAAACGTTAATAAAGGAAGGAAATGTCAAATGAAAAATGTTATAAAGACAATATTTTTCATTTCATATTTTCATAGAACAAGAATCTAGCCCCACCTTTGCTTTTAATGTGAAAAGAACAACCACATTTCAAGGTCGGATTCACATAATTGTTTACAATCAGATATTTAACATTTGTAAAGAACACTTCTTCCTCTAACAAAAATTTTCTATATAGTTCCAAGTTTTGGTAATAGTACTGTTGTGAAAATTAAATTCCAAAACTTTAATTTTTAAAGGGTTTCATTACGTCTTGTGTGGAACCTTACCTAAAAATACAATTTCATAATAATTTCCTATTTGTATAACTCAGGTCACTTGTTTGAATACAATTAATTTTCAGCGAAACGAACAAAATCTAGTAACAATTGTTACAAACTGATGAGCAAACGGACGCGCCAAATATCGCTAATATTTTCCATCAGAAAAGCAACGCAGTTTCGGTCATATTTTTGCAAAATCCAAATACCTATTAGACACATTTTCGTATTTTCAATAACAATCACTTGAAATCGTTATTTTTTTGTTCCATAAATTTGTCGGACAACATCTCAGATTCTATTTTTCAACTTATTTCCCTGAGACTCCATAAAAATTTTAAACTAATTTCTTGTGACCGATAATTTTCTTTTGCCTTTAGATTTACTCCATAAATCCCACATTACAACTTCTATACCAACATTGTTACAAAATGTTTTCATTTGGCAAGCCTGGCACTGTTAAGGAATGGAATTTGTGAAGATACTTTGCCAATAATTCCGGTGTTTTTGTTTTTTAGTGATAAATGTGAGTGTAGTCGGTTGCTACAACGTCATATTATTTTATTTGTAAATTTAGAAGAATAATATTCACTTGAAATATTCCGAATACAAAAAACGTTCAATGGCAGAATATGTTCAAGTCAGCAAATGTGAACAACGATCGCTCCAGAAATTACCATTTTTCAACTCTCTGGAGTATTTGAACAATTAACTTTTTGTTCTCCTCTCTGTTTACTGAAGACAATTCTTCGTGTATTTCTCCACACCCGTAACTCTCCGATTTCCCCCTGAAAATGTGTAAACAGGTGTTGACATGTAAATAGTTTGTTAATTATTTGAATCACACTTTTTTTGCACATTCATGTAAATTAAAATTCGTCTCTTGACAGTTAAAAAGGCCAAGGGGAAAACAGTAGCAATAGTCACGTTCTTAATCTTGGCCAATTTTAAATGACGGGGTAGCTGCACTTACTTTGAGTAATGCCCCATTGGAGGATCATTAAGTGAGCGTTCAGCAATTTTTCTTACTCTCTTTAATGAGCACCGGGTGTATTCTTTAAGTACCTACTCTTTTGCCGATCATTTGGTTGGCTGACTGGCTGGCTGGCAGTCTGTTTGGTTGCTTATGGTGTGTGTGTTGGGCTCAGTAAACATTTACGCTCGCAACGGAGCGCACATCACTGTGACGGGGTCGGTCTTCTTCGCTATGAACCATACTGAGATTTATACTGTCATTTAGAGTTAAATGAGACCTCAAACGCTTCAGTCGACGATAATAATACTCCGCAGAAAAAAAAAATCAAACAGATAAAAGAAAACAAAAACCGAAAAAGAGCAACCAAAAGCAACAACAACATAAATGAAAACTAGATGTTAACTCATATCGGCATTAGCTGCTGATTAAAACACGATTAACAATCGGGTAACAAAACAAGTTAAACAGAAAATACCAACCCCACAGCTGGGCGTTAGTAAGAAATAAACGAATGCAATAACAATTTGCCGAATTTAAACGTGCATGTGCCTCTTTCAGCACAAAAATAGTTGAATATCTTGCGCATCGCTTTTATTAAAAAGTGAAAAAAAGAAACAAAAATTGAAAGATCAACAAGTTATTTGAATGTAAACAACCCATAGCGGGTTCGGCATTTTCAACAACTACCTTTGGAATTGTTCCAGTATTCATCTGTAAATATGTGCCGCTGCTGTCAAAAGTAAGTAAACGAAAGCTAAATAATTAGATATATAGGGAAAATACGGACAATGTAATAGCCTACATCGTGATGAAGTTCTAAGAAATTTTCGCTTGCTCTGTTCCTAAAATGTAAGAAGGTACAATTTTTTACTACGATAACCAATTTTCCCTTTATGATATCGGCACAAAAATACAAAGCTAGTAGATTCTTGCAGGTTCTGGAACAGAGCTAAATATAAAAGAAAGGTTTATTTTATTTTTTCAGAAACAATCTCAAAATGTCCTGTGAAAGTAAAACATGGAAAAACGAGTAGCTAGATTAAACAACGCTTAGGAAAGAATGGTGGGAGCTATATTCTGTATTGGAAAAAATCAAAAATGAAATGTAGCTATATTTAAACACTACAATTTTTTTCAATCAATTTTTTTATTAGGGAAAAATACATACTGATTCCGCCTCATTAAAAAGGGTATATCCATACAATGATTTACACATCTAAATCTATACTAATTTCGCCCCATAGGCAGTTAGAATAACCATTAATTTAGCAACTACAGAGAGTTTCTCTCATTGTTTTTAACATTTAAATCTTTATGCTTTTGAATAATGATAGAACATATAACATCTTAGATGCATTTCAAACTTCTTTTAGAAAATACGTTGACACAATTAATAACGTTTTCAATTTGCTTGATCGAGGTTAAATAATACAATAATACAGGACTTTAAAATTAGTGTACAATAGTACTATATATATTTACGTTCAATTCTCGTCTGTCCCACAATATTTTTCATTGCGTTCTGCGTAGATGATACATAACTTTTGATAAGTTTGAAAATAAGTTATAAGTTAAACTTATTTTATGAGGATTAATTTGAAGTATATTCAAAGGGATTGACAATTTAAATCTGTTGGGCTAATTCAAACCGGTAAACAGTAAACGTATTGTAATAAATTGATTGAATTGATGAAGGCAATTTGGCGATCAATTTGGGGTTTTTGGAGGATTTTACTTTTTTGGCCTGAGTCGATGTACGCTATTGCTACCGTAATTTGTTTGTTTTTTTAACTAAAATAAGTGTTAATTTTATGAAATATAATATCTTGCTAATTTTTTTTCAGTTGCTGGGAAGATTTTTATTGGAATTGTTTCGAGGAAAAATTTTGCTACGATGAAACAATTGGTAAGTACTTACTAATATCAGTAAATTAAAGTACACATACATACGTAGAGCAACGCGAATTGTCGTTGACTAAACACCAGCACCCATCCATACATCCAGCCTGTCAGTCACTCACTCATCCATCACCTTCATTATTCCAATTAAGGTAACAAATAAACACATTTGTGTTGTTGCGTGCTTTTATTATTGTTTTTTTGGCATAGATTATTAAGAAAATGAGCAAATTTTTTAGACACTTCCGTGAATTATGTCTATTTGCATTTATTAATAATAATAATGATAACTTTGATATAACAATATAATTTTATTGGCTAATACTTTGCAGTATGCGCTGTCTGTGATTCGTAAAATAGTATGCACGTATAATTTATGTAATTGCCAGACACGTTTCGCGTATGAGAAGCGGCGCAAGCGCGCACTGGCGATGTGTAGACGATCGCAGTGCTATGTTGGAATGTATCGTTTGTTTATTTTGTGACGCAGTTGTGGAATCTTGAAATAAAGTCTGTCCGTCGCCGTGGTAGTTTACCTTTTTTGTGTTTACGTGATCTATGGCACATCTACACAATGTTCCAAATCCTAGCGCTTAGGTAGCGAAGTGTTGTGTTTTCGACATTCCATTCTAACCCTTGTTTGTGTTTTATCATAAATTTTTGTGATCTTTTTTGAGTATATCTTTTTGATACTTTTACTGTCCACACACTTCTACGATTATGGTAATACACCAATAGTATTAAGGGTGACTTGAGAAATTAATATGAGCATTCTATATTTACACACATCGATTGCCGATATGCCCGAGTGGATTTTAACTAAATATCGTGAGAATGAAATGCCTGTTTTCCGTAAAAGGACATTGTAATCTATAAAAATGCTTTTTTTTAAGATCTGTTACAAAAGAATTTTCAGATTAATTGTCTTACCAGGGACGTACGCAGGCTTGAGATATGGTCCCTCTCCGAAATTCTTATTTTGTGACATTTTTTGTATTTTACATGGAAAAGTTTTGTTTGGGGCTAATTGCACCCCACGCTCGCAATGATTTTGAAAGGTATTAAGAATTAATAGAACTATTTTACTAGCACTTGCTTTGCTTGGATTTTCTCATGTTACACTAATCATGCATTTTTATACCATATTAAGCTTGTCATTTCGTTTGTAACACCTCAATATATACATTTTAGACCTCACATATTCTTCATAAGCATAAAATTATATATAACAATGTCCGTTCATCTCTTTCTGTCCGTCTGGGTAAATCATTCTAGATTCCAAACGAAATGAAGTAGTTTGATAAAATGTTTCTCAGATGTGTGTTTGTTTTTCAGTACTTTGGTATTGAAAATTGGCTGTGTAGAGTTTCACGTTCATTGGGTGTTTTAGTCACAATTTCAACCCAAGTTTACTGTAAATTGGCAGTATGTGTTCCTTATATGTAAGAAACATCCGTGCATAGAACTGTTATTATAGGTCTGAGTTTTAGTGTAGTACCTCCAGATATTCGGTATTTTCATGATTAGTCTCCCACATGTCCACTTCTTCGTAAAGCCCTCATAGAACGGTACCTCCGGCATTTTGATGATTTAATCGACCGAAAATAGCCTGTGCAGGTCCACGTCTTCGTATAGCCCCCATAAAAAGGTACCTCTCAATATTCCGAATTTCGATGTTATTCACCGGAATTGTTTCAATTTTCGTATTTGAATATTGTAGTGGCCTATGACAAAATTTGTCTATGCAGGTTCACGTCTTCGTATAGACACCAATATAACGACAACTCCCGTACTTATATGATTTTATCAGTATTTTTCAAAGGAATTTTTTGATAATTAGCAAATTCCTTTCAAATGGTGGAGGGTATTCAATGTTCGGGTCGACCGAACTTACTGCTTTGAAACTTGTTATTTTTTAAGTATTTGAGAATATAACATATTTAGAAGCAGTTAAGAATTTAAACCATTTTGAGAAATTGCAGTAACTTGTATGGGAGCAATTTTTCGCCTTACAATCAATCCTCTTCAAACATATGATAAGATTAATTGTTTGACTTGTTTGTGGGTAAATTATAAAATTATGAATAAAATTGGTTGTATTGAAATAATGAAAACTCGTCCAATAATTAATGACCTCATCGCATCGAATCGAAAAAGAATTTTAAACTTTTTAAAACCAAAAGTCGTTAGATCAAAATCGATGGCACTATTTGATTTTGAATTTCAGTGCAGCATGAAGCTGCCATTGGTTTTGTTTGTAGTAGAAATGCTCTAATTCGAGAATGGTAGTCTGAAGTGAGAAAGGATGGATAAATCGCGGTTAATCGTCGCATTTGCTAAACGAATTGATGCAATTTGTCATTATATATCCTAAAAAGTAGAAAACATTCCTGCAGGTTTGCTTATTTCAGAATGAGGTGTTGTATTTATTTAATTGCAAATTTATATGATGGTAAGAAATGTATTACAGTAATTGACTATAATTTATAATGCAGAACAAGCCAATATTTTAACAGGCCTCAAAAAACCATTTTAATTTTGAAAAAAAAAAAACATTGCAAAACTCGTTGCACATTAATTTTATTTGAAATATGTGTTTACGACATTGAAAAAAAAAAACAAGATAAATTTCAGAAATAAATAATACAGGGTGTGTACAATTCAATATATTTTTATCACTTATACAATACAATGCGTTAGAACTGGCTGTTGACAAACCTGTAGAAATGCGATAAAAAATTAAATCAAAAAACTACGTAAGACAGAAATACGCTCCGGGAACTGTTGTTACATGGATGTTTCGAATTTGAGGAAGAAAACTGGACTTTTAGTCTTTATTGAAGAGGTAGAAACATAAGTTTCTTTACGTTGGTCGGTCCATAATATTGTCCTTCAGGTGGCGACGATCTCAGAGATTGCTATACCCTACACCACATAGTGATAAGGGTATTAGGTCTTTGTGCATTTGTTTTTAACATGGAGAAAGAGCGAGATAGACTCATAGCTACTTCTGAGGATCTCCATAGAATCACTTTCTGAGTTGATTTATGCATTCAGTCCGTCTGACCGTGTGTCCATGTATTTTTGTAAACAAAAATTTATTATCCGATTGAGATGACATTTTCCAAACAAATTTGGTTGGCGCAAGGACGAATTGGTGCGAATCGGTTTAAATTTAGATATAGCTCCCACATATATCTTCAACCGATTTCGGGTTAATTGTCCACCAAATGGCCAATATCAGTCCAAATGACCTGAATTTTGGCAAATCGGACCGAGTTCAGTCTAGAAGCAAATATATCAAATTTGGTGAAAATCGGTTCAGATATAGCTGCAGTTCCCATTTATATGTTTCATCCGATTTGATGTTTAAGTCCCTCACATTCGTAATATGCACTCCACAAGCAAGATATTTGTTACCAGATACCAGATACAGAAATACCTCTGCCAAATTTTATCAAAATCGGTTCAGATTTGGATATAGCTCCCATATATACCTTTTCCGATTTCAGGTTCATTGTGTACCAAACAGAGTGAATTTTGGCACTTCCTAATGAATTCAAACTAAAAAGAAGTACTTCAGATTTTGGGGGTTTAAGTTCCTCAGATGCGGAATATGTACTCCACAAGAATGATATTTATGGTACCGGATAACATATGGAGCTCAAAAATAACTCTGTTAAATTTTATCGAGATCGTATCCTATATATATTTTTATCATATATCAAGTTTATTGTGCACCAAATGGCTAATGTCAGCTCATATGTACTTAATGTTTGCACTTCCGATGGAATTTAGCCTAGAAGCAAGTATTTTAAATTTTGGTGAAAATCGGTTCAGATATAGCTATAGTTCCGTTACATATGTTTCATTAGATTCAGCTCGAAAATACCTTTGCCAAAATTTATCGAAATCGGTTTAGATTTTTATGTAGCTTCGATATACATCTTCATCCGATTTTACGGTTATTGTCCAAATTGGATATATTTTTTCAAACTCAACCGAATTTTCAATGAAACTCGGTCTGGTATTTCTCTTGCTCCAATAAATATTTTTTAACATACTCTTTATCGAAGTCATATAATGCACTATAAAGCAATGTTATTTGGTTTTAAATTTGTTTAAAATCGATGCAGAGTTGGATATAGTTCGCAAATAGTGACTGTAAAGCAGTGATACGCATTCACATAAAATCCCAATGTAAATTATTTTGTTACGAGAGGTCTAATTTATACGAATGGTGGTGTAGAGTATCATACAGTCTGCCTCGCCCGACTTTTGACCTTTACTTACTGATTTTTTTATATAATCAAAATATCAGAGAATTCCATTCCCTGAGGAGAAAATTCTCATTTATTACTTCATTTGAAGAACCATCACCATTGGTATTTCCAATGCTACGCCTAATAGTTCTGCTTTAATTTTTCTGAAACAGATATTTTTATGAATTTGTATATTTAATATAATTAAAAATTATAAATATTTTGGTTAAATTTCCAACTTGAGCAATATTTTGCAAATACATCACAAGATTAATGTGCGACTGTTGGGTTCCGTTATCTTGCACAAGCCGTGCAAATTATTTTCCTACTTGCAGGTGATCAAGAATATACATATATACTTAATGAGTATATAATTTTTATTTTAAACACTCACAAATTGTATGACAATCTTTATGTTGCAAACCATTCCGACGTAGAGGATATAAATACATTTATTTGATAATATGATAGGATGAATAAAAGCTCAAGTTATTTTGAATAACCACTGACGAATATTTTTATCCAACCGCTTTGTAAGCTGTACCTTAACCCATAAAAATATTTTTGTATATCTGGAAGAATTATTTTTATACAAACAGTATGAATCCGATAATTGCAACACCAATAATCGCATCAAATTCTCATTGTTTTGTTTTTATTTAATCTGTCACATCACATATGAGAATCTCGCCAGTTCATAAAACATGGCTTGTCCTTTTCGTATACGAAGTTACGGGATTCTACT